GAACATTTTTGGCTTATAAACTAAAATTTTAATTTTTTTGGAGTTTCCTCCCTTTCTATTGCAAAGACCCCATATAACTTAGTTAAAGATAAATAATAAAGTATAAAAATTTTAATATTTTAAATAGATTCTTAAATGAAATAAAAAGCTATATAATAAATATAATATTAATTTTGAAATTTGATAGTTTAAAGTTAATATAAAAAAAAAAAAAAAAATACTAAATATTAAGTAATAGGAATTAAGTAAATTAGCCTAAAAGTTTAAATAATATGTTATAAAATTTTATTCTATAATATTTAAACATCTTTTTATATATTTTTAAGTAATTTGTTTAGAAACTTTTTTTTTAAATTTATTTTTATAATTTTAAAAACTTTAATAATTCAACTAAAGTAATTAACTTTTCATATGTATATACAGTGAAACCTTCATAAGTACGCCCTCTATAAATGTACACTCTATGTAAATTTTCTCTAAATGTACAGTAGACTTTTGTCCCAACTTATAAGAGCTTTTAATATTTTATTCTCTATAAATGCACACCCCTCTCTAATTGCACATTCTGCTATTTTTTTATTATAGTTCTAAGGGGAGTGTACTTATGGAGGTGTCACTGTATATATAATATTTTTATGTAATTTATTTAATATTTTATATAATAATAGTAAATTTTATAAAGTTATAAACTAATAAAAATTTTATATTTAAATTAAATTATAATAATTACTTTAAATGTATTCTCTATTTTATTGAATTAACCAAAAATAAGTTATTCCAAAAGTTGCATTTAGAGTAATTAAAAAATAATTTGATTATAAAAATTTATTAATTTCTTAATAAACCCATAAAATATGATAAAAATGAAAGTAGCTGACAATATATATAGCAATTTTTATGTTTTTTTTAACAATTAAGTTTATTTGGTAAGCAATGCAGATATAAAAATCTTATCTTTCAAATTACAGTTTCCTTTGAGAAGTAATAAAATAATTCCAAAAAGATGCTTGATATTAGTCCAGTCATCTAAACTACTATTAAATTCATTTGCAGTATTTGGAAATATTTTATAACTTATTGTCCGTCATCCAGGAAGTTCTAATGCAGGAACAATTAAATTGAAAACATCTTGTGATTTCGTATTTTTTGTTGATAATGAAAATGAAATATAATGTCTGTTTAATGTGATTGTAAAAGGATTAGATGTAAGGACTTAGGAACGGAATATGATTATTGTCAATTTTAAATTCAGAAGTTTCTTTGGTGATATTTTTTGTTATAGGTTTTTTTTTCATCTTCTGATACATAACCTGAAAGAATTTTTTATTTCATCATCATACTCCTGTTCAAAATTTAAGCATTTTTTTTAAATGTCCCCCAGAAACAAACAATCGGGTTTTGTATAATAGGTAACGTAATATTTTCGTGTAACGGCCTTTGCTTTTGGATTATACGGTCAGAAATCAAGGATGCGGGTGCCGACAAAACAAAAAAAAAAAAAAATTTAAATACACTTTTTATATAATATAATTTTTTTTATTCGTATTCGTATCATGTAACAGCGATATAATTTTTATTAAGTTGTTCGGAACATGGAACCTTTGCAATTGAAGGGGGAAACTGCCGAAAAAAATAAAAAATAAACTAAAATAAATTGATTTTTCCGGTAGTTCCCCTCCCGCCTTTTTATTGCAAAGATCCCACATTTTATGAAATAAAGGCACGTTGTGTCATTTTTTATTTTAAAACACTTTGTGCGAGTGAGCAGGATCAATGTTCCATAAAATCCCGAAACATATGCAAAAGTAAAATATCGACAGGTCGAACGTTGTTGAAATGCTATTTTGCAAGATTCGCGTCACAAATAAATTGCATATGGAATTTCGGCATCTATGTGAAGTCAGATTTAATTTAGGGTTAGTGGACATAAATGCATTCGAAAATTTCCTTGAGCATGTCAAGAAAGCACAATAATCACATTAAAGAACCGGAAATCCCCATTAAAAAATTAATGAGAAATTTTCTGATGCAGAATTATCCAAAACTTCTGTGTGAAATCACTTCGAGACAAGATTGCAGAGATCGAAGCTAAATTAGAGCAAAGTTCCTCTTTTGTAGTAAATAGGAACGGAAACCGTTGTAAAGCTCGGACTAATGAGCACCGGTATCCAGCGTTGTCATGGACATAGTTAGGACATAGATGGGACAGATAGGACATTGAGACATAATGTGGGACAGGTTGGAACATATAGCCGGGACAGCAAGTCTCTGGATATCAAAAATATACATCACTGCCGATATGGTATACTTACAACATATAATAACAGCTGGTTTATTCGCCGACCGGAAGAAACACCTTCATTAATTTACATTTCGCAAACTCTTCCGGTTCGGTCAATATCTCCACCTGTTCTAAAGACTTATGCCTATTTAACAACTCTGGCGATAGATAATTATTATTCCCCAAATACTATGGTATACTGTCTACATATAATAACAGCTGGTTTATTCGCCGACCGGAAGAAACACCTTCATTAATTTACATTTCGCAAACTCTTCCGGT